GTTCTCCAATACCCAACCTTTCAACTTTTTGGGTTCTGATCACTTAGTAGTAATTTGAAAGTTTAACCTTTTTTTTCCCTGGCTTATGGGGGAAGTAAGTTAAGGCCTTCTGTGTTTTCCAATCGCGAAACGTCAAGCTAAGGCGTTTGATGAGGTTTAGTCTGCAGCCAATTCCCCTTCCTTTCATGTCATAGAAAACTGCTGGTTCCTTAATTAATGTAGGGGCCTAGATAATGACCAACATTATTTTTGGGTTCCTTATTATAATCGTAACGTAATTTACCCCAAAACCCTAGTCTAATCAATAAGGCCCCTTTATTACACAAGTCGATCAAAATCTCGGCAGAAGATGCTGATTTAGGCGGTCCATCACAGTTGCTGATCGAAGTACAAGCGCTCTCGTACTATGCGGGCAAGCAGTTAAGAGATGCCCATCACAAGTTTTAACACCAGGCCGAGAAGAAATAATCCCAGACTGTTCAAAGCAATTACCTTTGAAATCATTCCATTCCGGGGTCCCTCAAGACACGTCCCATTTGTGTTCAAAACATACGACAACGCACCAAAGTGGCTTCGCAACACAGCGGATGCTTGCGGGCGTTGTGCGGCTGCTACACGAATGCTTCGACGACATGCAACATGGATGCCGTGGCTGAAAGACCTCACGAGTCTTTGGCTTCAGCCCAAAACCAGCACTTTTCCCAGATAACCCTCAGCCAGAAACCTATACGACGAAACCCTCAAACCCAAGATGATCACGTGGCCTCGGCAGCAGAGGCGCCCCAACAAGGCAAGGCCACAAGATGACTTCTGCTCCAGCCCACCGCATCTCTGCCGGTGCTCAGCTGCATGAAGCAGCTTACGCGCTATGATGACGACCTCATCAGCGTCGTCCCAGACACCATGCACGGCCGTTGACAAAGTGCCACGCCCTTGCACTGGCTGAACCTGGTGATGCACCACCGGCGGCGGAAGCGAATTCACCACGAGCAATGCCTCTGCTCACCACAGGAGAGTCCCTGTCTCATGTTATTGCTATGGAGGTTCCGAGCCGCATTGAAACAGAGATCAACGTGTGTATGCTGAAGCTGCCCACAAGCTGCTCACCAGTTTGGCTTGCCAATACAGGGATCTTGGTGTTAACCTTCATCGCAGCTAGCACACTTTCTCGGTAGCATAGTCTTAGTTGGTGGATGATTGGAGTCACTGGTTGCCGGCCATCCAACGTGTGTTCCCCTGAGAGCCCTGCTGCCAGTCTTGCCAGCAAACACTATTAGGTTACGTTTACCATTCCAAATCCGTCGAAATAAAACCCTAAACCCTAAACCCCATGCCTGAGGCCTGAGGCGTCCGACTGCGCGCGCCGAAACCCCAAATCCCAAGATCCGTTAGACCCGCACCATGAGCATCCAGGGTCCTCGCAGGTGGCCGAATATCTTCTGGGCTTCGGCAAAGCGCGACAAGCTGCACCAGAAGGCAGACCGAGGGTATATGGTCTAGCACTTGAGGGTTTAGGGTTTTCGGGTATTCACTCGGGTCGGCAATCAATTAGGTCCCATTTGCAGCACCTTCGGTTGTTCACCTAGATCTAGGTCCGTCGCTTTACATCCGAACCTTGAACCCCAGGTTCATCAAGGACACTAGTGTAAAGCCGCCTTTCGAAAGTGTAGTTGCGTGTGTTGCATATTCCAGAAATATGTGTGTACATACATATAGATATAGAAGCATATCCATACATATATATATGTATATATAACTGCACCTATCATTCATAGCTACCCCAAGCAAGTTTAGTCACTTTGGTAAGCGTTGTCAGATACTGGTTAAGTGTACAATCGCAATCGGGATCGGTTGATGATTATGCACCTCCACCGTCGGTTTTGAACCCCCTATCTTAAGTGGGACCCTAATCCATCCCGAACGGCACGAACGAAACCGGACCGTCAAAATCATAGACAAGTTTACTCTGCAGTCGATGCCACGACTGTTGTTTTCTGCACTGATCATTTCTCCAACCAAATACCTGACTATTTGCAACCCAGGTACCTGAGCACTTGGTATTTGTATTCGCCCCAAACCTCACCCAGCTTCTGTGGCGAAGGCAGTCCAACAGCCAGCCCCACTGGCAGGCGTCTTGGTTGGCCTCGGCATAGGATTTCTTCAGGGTCTAGGATTTTTTCTATGGCTAGAAAGTTAAGTTGCACGCACACACACGTTCGTCACAACGATGGGAACTTTCCTAGTACAGCGCCAATAACTTCACTGCCCCGCGGGGCCCCGCAGGCTTAAACCGTGAATCCCGATGTGGAATCGAACTTTACACCCGTCCAGATTACATTCATCCAGCTGGTCTTTAATTAAAGCCCGGGCACCTGGTTTTACCCGGTTCTCCTAGTATGGAAGCTTCAACTTTACCAAAATCATTGGCTCGAGATTTAGGCAAGCTTCTTTTCTTTTCTGATTGTATTATATTTTACCCAAAATCTCATTCTAATCATCAAAGCCCCTATAGTTCTGCAGGTCTGGTGTACCTGTGCTCCCCGACTCCATCGACGGTGTGCCTGGGCTGACATTGACAGAACCGAAGCCCAGCCCTGTGCTCTAAGCCCAGAACTCAAGAGACTCCAATATTCCTTAATTAAGGAATATACCATAAATCATATTAAGGGTCCTACTATAATTCAAGGAATATTACTTAATTAAGGAATATTGGAGTGTCTGGGAAATCCGCGCTAAACCGTCCTTCAGGCCTCTTGCAAATTCTACACCACGCCCTCAGCCAGACCATTTCATGTGTATTACACTAGAAACATGTCGGTGTTTTGTTAAAAAGCATGTGTAGTCTTGGTTTCAGGAGCTGTCTTCTGTCAGAAACCAGGCCCCCCTTTTCACAATGCCCTTGTTCTAGCTAAGCTCAGGGCTTGCACACGCCTGGCGTACTACTTGGAGGCTCATGGTACTTATAACTTATAACCCAAATAGAACTGGCTTATAACCCCTATTGTAGGTCCCCTAAATACACTTACCCAGGTTATAATTGGGTTATAACTACCATGAACCTCCAAGTAGGCCTCAGCCTCAGGCCTAATTAGTTTCGCTGACCTCGGGGGAGATGGGTGGCTTAGGACATTTTTGGTCTTGGCCCTGTGTGCTTTCGGGTTTAGAGTTTTAGGGTTTAGGGTTTTAGGGTTTAGGGTTTTGGGTTTTGGGGTTTAGGGTTTAGGGTTTAGGGGGGTTACTTAACCGATCAAGTGAGCAGGGGGCTCCGCACTAGGGTTTTACTGTGGAGGTAGATAAACTAATAAAGCTGTGTTGCGTGACTGTAGCTCTACTTATAGAGTGCTTGTTCCTGCAAGTAGCGCTTGAAGTTTTGGGACATCGGGGTTCAAGGTTAAGGGCTCAGCAGAGAAGTCCGTTTAGGGTTTACGTTGTTTTTTCTTCGATGCCTTCTCCTGAGCAATCAACATAGGGGCTGAGTAGGTAACCTTTAACCTTTTGGGGCTTATATTGTATATTCCTAGTATAATTCAAAAAGTTAACCTTTTTTGGGCTAGGGTACTTAGCCCCTAAGTCAAGGTCGTTTTCTTGGACGATGATGGTGGAAAGAAGATCTTGCGGCTCGGCGGGACTGGCAACCCCCGGTTTAGGGTCTTAGGGTTTAGGGTTTAGGGTTTAGGGTTTAGCCCAATAGGTAAACCTTCAACTTGTTTGGTATCTTAAACCCCTACTAAAAGAAAAGTTTACAGTTTTTTGGGCCAGGGTATTGGGCTTCAAGGGGTTCTGAATATATGAGGCCTTCAGGCTTCAGCGTCCAGGGCCTGTAGTCGTTTTTAAATCTAGGGGTCTGAATTGTTATCAGTATATCAGCAACACCAAAACCTCTTCAGATGATTAATGCCCCAATCTATACGCTGAGCGTCCCAAAGCTTCAATCCCTGGCAGACTTTCAAACCCTAAACCCCATATGGATCCTCGCCTGGCTTGTCCGAGTTGTGAGAGTGTAAACCCCTAACCCTAAACCCTATTCTCAAAATTCTCCAGGAATTAGAGATCCGCACAAAACCTGAAGTGCACCCAGCGATGTTCGCCAGGCAGTCGCGTCCTCGCGAACTCGGAAGCGAAAACAGTGTGAAAAAGCTCCTAAACCCCAAACTCAAAATCCTTGAGCCCACCTGCTACACCCAAAAGCCAGAACGCCTCGTGCATAAGGTCTAGTCACTACCCATAGGCCCCATAGTAGTTCCTTGTTGGGATTACCCTATAGGATTCTACATATGAACCCCAAAAAAGAACTACTTTGGGGCCTATGGGTAGTGTTTAGGGATTTTGTTGTTTGGTTAATCCCCCAACCATAATCCCTAATTTTCCCTAAACTTCCACGCCTTCGGACGCGGCCCTTGAAACTAAAGATACATACGTGCCTGCGGTGCGCGAGCGGGCGAGTCGAACGATATGAGAGTTTCCGAAAATAAGGCGGGGTACCTTATTTTGGGGGTCCTTATAACAAGGATCCTACTATTTAGGGTACTATCTTAGGGTCCCCTATTGTCGGAAACCCCCATATGAGACCCTCTTGGACGTGACTGTCCCGAAGGCTCCGCCACACGCGCGAGGTGACGAAGTTGGCCGACAGTGGTGCCACTTGCTCGCAGAAGCGACCAAGGTGTTCTTGTACTCTTTTTGTGATCAGTGGGTTTAGGGTTTAGGGTTTAGGGTTTAGGGTCAGTGGTTCCTGATGAAGGACCCCTTTTAAGTTGCACAAAGAGTCTTGGGGTGCTTTGGACTTTACTTTGTCTGTGTGGCGGTTGAGAGCTTGAAAGCCACAAGCTTCCATTTTGCCCCCGCTGGTCCCCATTTAACTACCCAAAGTCCGTACCTGAGCACCATCTAGAAGAAGAAAAGACAAAGCACGAACTCACAACAGGCGAGCATGACTATCATTGTCTATTCGTTGTTGATCTCTTGTTTTTGCATGGACCCCTGCATCCTTTTGGGATAAGTAGGGGCCACTTGACCCTACTTTATCAGACAGAAGAGCTGGCAAAATTAACTCGGATTTTTCTTGACAATGAAAATGTTGTTCCTGGATGATAACATAGGTTTGGGTACACTAGAACAAGTGACTCAGCGCATTTGTTCCCTGTCAGATCCGAAAGCAGCTGGGGAGCCAGAAATTCTGGATTTCACCAACTTTTTCAATTTGATGGATGACCGTTCAAGCGTACCCTGTCCTCACCACGACCCGCCTCCGCTGCTCAGGGCAGGGGTATGTGAAGCAAGACAGTCGTCGCTCTTCGATAACGTACACCAGCCCGATCATACACCGGAACACCACCTGGCAGACCGAATCACCCGTCCCCCACGCCCCATCTATCACATTCACCTTCACATGGGCCAAAGCCGCCGGCACTCAAAGTTGTGCCGGCCAACACCCGTAGTGACTTACTATTATTATTGATATTGTTATTACTAGTATTATTGTTATTATCATTATTGTTATTATTATCATAGGGTGCATTCTTCAGCATCGACCGGAAGGACTGGCCCAAGCAGGACAATCTTCCTGCCACCACGTGGGGGCGCCGGACTTGTGAAAGTGGTTCTCCAACGAGAGAGAGGGAGAGGGAGAGAGAGAGAGGGAGTGAGAGAGTTTCGCTTACTTTCCATGCTCGTTGTGCTACCTTGCCATCTTGAAGCCCAAACTCCCTCAGCCCTAGCCCGAATGAGCCCTTATGAAGCTCTTGGAATCGCAGAACCTTCGTAACACTTTCATAAATCCCCGCTGGAATCTCACAGAAGCCCAAACCCTCCTTCAACCTTCGCGAGTTCGCCGAGGTACCGGCTCAGAAGCGTTTCGCTTTCTACGATCAGGCCTGGCTACGACTGCGGATGGATTGTGTCTCGTAGGAGATCTACAGGGCTTTCGGGTTTAGGATTTCAGGTTTCCGGGTTGGGGGTTCGGTTTAACTTGTAGAAAAAGAATCAGGGTGTTACAAGGCTTCTCTACTAGAAGGTTTCTAGATGTCGTTTATCAGGTTTCGCAAAAGGTTTCAACTTCACGGGTTGATCTAGGATGCAAGCCCTAAGCCCTAAGCCCTAAACCCTATCCCAGCTGTTAAGGGAGCTTGGCGTCTGTGGAAGTCATGCAGTTCTATCTCGCCAGCCTCTTGCGCACTCTTCTTCGGCTTTATTATGTTGGATCGTGGCCCGTGGCCTCGTTTATTGGGATTGACAGTGGCTTCAAGAGGAAAGGAGTCCACTTGCATGCGAACGAGAAGAACAAATGCTCCTGCCATGGATTTTTGTTTCTTCCGATCCCGATGTGCTGATTTGGTATAACCTAGGATTTTCCGTGTCACCTAAAGCAATGCTGAGGCTGTTGAAAGCGGCACCTGTCTTGAGAGTTTTAGCACAGGAGCAAATTTCGGGTACATTTCTTATCTGAAGCCAGTTGATTCACAGGTGCAGGAATCAAGGCATTACTGCACTGACGACATGACACTTGGACCTCTTGCAAGCTAGCTGAGGATTCCTGGTACGACTGACGACGAACGCAACACAACAAGTCTTCACGACAAGCGTTGTATTGGTGAAGAGGTTTAGCCTTCAAAGCTTTCGTTCTTTACCGTGAGACTTTCCAGGTCCATACAACAGGCATGGACATTCAACACAAGCTCGATGCAGTGGCAGCACTCACCTTGGGTAAAGACATGCGCCTTGCCAGCAATATCACATGGCTCTGTCTGAGGCGCAGATTTGCCCGAGACCTGATATAGAGGCCTGAAGCATCTATGGTATGTAATCAATGATATCTCCTCATGGTCTGACTCACACAAAATACATCCTAAAACTATAGTGCACCCTTTAAAAAGCCCTTTATTAACCGTATTCCATTTATCAGGGCATGCCTGCGTAATAGCCTAGACCTATGCCTGCTCTCTGATACCCAGAGACTCCAATATCCCTTAGTTAAGGAATATACCTTAAATCATATTCAGGATCCTACTATAATTTAAGGAATATTTCGTAATTAAGGGATATATTGGAGTCTCTGGGTATCCTAGCTGCCGAGGACGCGGACCTCTCACAAACGCGATCCACTGTACCTCCACTGCTTGACCAGGCTCCTCCAGGTAATGTAGGGGCCTTAATTTTTAAGCCGAGTCACTCTCAGCCCCACGGGGCTTT